TCAGTACAAAGGGCTGCTAGACTGCGCCAGGCAGATCTTGGAGCGGGACGGCACCCGTGCTCTTTACCGTGGCTACCTGCCCAACATGCTCGGCATCATCCCCTATGCCTGCACCGACCTGGCTGTCTATGAGGTGTGGTACCACAGAGGAGGAAGTGGGGCGGCCTGAGCCCAGGCCCATCATGAGCTCACTCCTTGCCCCTTGCTCTCTTCATTAGCATTTTTAAATGACACATAATTATGCAAATTTACAGGGTCTGGTATGATATTCCAACATATGTATACAATGTGCAGTGATCAGATAAGCTATCATTGCTTTGTATTGGAAACATTAAACATATTGACTTTTTTTTTTTTATACCAGGGATTGAACCCCAAGAGTGTTTATTTAACCACTCAGCCACACCACCAGCCCTTTTTATTTGATTTTCTTTTAACTTTGAGACAGGTTCTCACTAGGTTCCTCCTGAGCAACTGGGATAACAGACATGCACCACCATGCCCAGTTCTAATTGCTATTTTGAACAGAAATTATTCTTCCTGTCCAGCTGCATCCCTATTTCCTATTAATTGTCTTATCTCCATTATCCTCTCCTTTCTCACTTCCCAGCCTCTGGTAACCACTATTATACTATCTGTATCAGATCTATTATTTTAGCTTCCATATGTGAGAACATATGCTATTTGTCTTTCTACATTTGGCTTACTTAACATGATGTCCTCCAGTTCCACCCATCTTGCCGCAAAGGTCAGGACTTCATTTTTTATGGCTGCATAATATTCTATTGTGTATATATACATATATGTACATTTTCATTCACCTATAAGTGGACGCCTTGCTTGATTCCCTACCTTGGCACTTATGAATAGTGCTCTAGCCTTCTTATTTTGCAGATGCTCCGGTGCTTATGGCTGAAGTCAGGAAGGGACATGGAGGACCCCAGTGGCTTGGTCAGTTTGTCATCTGTAACGCTGTCCACAACCTGTGGCCAGATGGCCAGTTATCCTCTGACTTTGGTGCGCACCCGGATGCAGGCACAAGGTCAGCCTGGCCCTAGTGACCACCACAAATGCTCCTTCCCTGACTTACCCCAGTTCTCTGAATTTTCTTACCATCCCAAACTCTCCATATTTGATCCTGGCCATCATTGCTGACCCCTGAACCAACCAAGACTTCTTTCTCATACTCACCCTCAAATCCAATCCCAGTCCTCAAATTAACCCTTTAAAAATCATTAAAACATCCGTCTCCTAAATGACCCCTCCTAAATAACTCCACCCAAATGTGACCCAGACTTCCACACTGGTCCCCAAAACAAATTCCCCCCACAAAAGACCTCCCAAGTCAGACCCATCTCTGTGCTTGCCTTTGTCCCCCACAGACACCGTGGAAGGTTCAAACCCCACCATGCGTGGCGTCTTTCGGCGGATCTTGGCCCAGCAGGGCTGGCCGGGGCTGTACCGAGGCATGACCCCCACGTTGCTGAAGGTGTTGCCAGCGGGTGGCATCAGCTATGTGGTATACGAGGCCATGAAGAAAACCCTGAGTGTATAGGTCGGCAGCTAGATGACAGACAAGGAGGGCAGGAAAGACACTGGAAGACTTGGTGTCCCTGGGTCCCAAGGGCAGTCCAGGCTAAGGCCCTGGGGCTGTTTTGGGTTGCAAAAGCCAGCTGGGGGCTTGGGTCGGTAGACTGTCAGGGCTGCCTCCCCAGGGTACAGTCTGAGACCTGAGTTTGGACTCCAGTCTGGCTTCTGCTGGCCCGTCCTGGCTCCAGGGCCAAAAGGTGCTGTGCAGACAACCAGGAATAAAGAGAGAATTTCTGCTGGACGCGTCTGGTAATACCTGGGATCTTTGGGTCCAGGGTTATAGATAGCAACAGGCTCAGATCCCTTATAGGAAGGGAGTAGGGACGGTGGAATTTGGGGCTGGGAAACCCTTGGTCCTAGAAGGGAATAATGTCAGGGAAAGAAATTGATCCCTTCAGTACTGGAAGAGGGTGGGGCCTCCAGGTCCCTGGGTCGAGAAAGAAGCGGGTGCAGGGAACCCCTGGGTTCCCTCATCTCTCGGGCCACTTCACTCGCGGAAGCAACAAATCTGCAAGGCTTCAACCAGGCCACGTGCCAGGCCTATCCAGCCAGGCCCCTAACCTAGACGTCAGGCCTGAGCACCAGCAGCCGGTCACCACCGCCCACGTTAGCTGTCATTCACCCCAGCTCCCACTAATCCCCTCTCGCGGAGCGGTGGCAGCTCCGCCCCAATGCAGCTGCACTTCCACTGGCTCCCACCAAAACTGGGCAATTTTACTTTCTTCATTGCCATTTGTCCAGACCAGCATCAGTCACCTAACGCCCGCCCCAGTCACTCAGCCATTGGTTTAGATGTCCGCGCTGGAAAAGGATTCTGGTTAACAAGAAAAGCTAGTCCAAACCCAATCTCGTCACTCAGAACTCGTCAGGAATTGGATTAAATTGACTGTCAAACTTTATAAGCACCTCCCGCCACGCGTATTCATTGGCTTGCCTGCACGACTATCACGCTGAGCACCTGCCCTGCGGGTCCAAAGGGGTCTTTCGCTAAGCCCCTCCTTCCAGTCCACGTGACTCTTCGGAGACATCAATCTAATTCCGAAGCCGCCCCCGCGAATCTGGAACTCACGCTTCATTGGGCTTCCGGCCTTCTTGGATCGCCTCGATTTGCCCGCCCAGCGCCGGGGATCCGCAGCCCATTGCCTCCTACATCTGTCAGTCACTCGGAACCTCCCGCCCAATGTCCCTCTCAGCACTCCGATTGGCGCCTAGCCTCCGGTTTCCGCGATTGGTGTGCAGCGAGCGATGCGTACCTCTCATTGGCCAGAACACGCCGTCCGTCACGCCGCCGGCGGGAGGGGGCGACCCTCTCCCCGCTCTTCGTCTTCCCAGCCGCTGGGTTCCCAGAGTGCTCCGCGGCCGTGTGGAGCGAGGCCTTGTTCCCGCGTTGAGCC